GAGAGAGAGAGAGAGAGAGAGAGAGAGAGAGAGAGAGAGAGAGAGATGACATGTTGGGTTAGCCCAATTGTCGCTACGAGGCGACGGTTTCACTTTTTGTTCCCCTCTGTTCTGCAGGAAAAAGAGGCGCTTCAATCTGTCAAGGGTAAGGGGCCACCTCTGTCCAAGTTCTGGAGAGACAAGTACGAGAGAGAGGCGAGGAAGAGCTGGGACTTGTTCTACGGCCGTAACGCCGGGAATTTCTTCAAGGACCGACACTGTGAGATAGTAAGAAATTTCAGTCGCACCGTTCTCACGAACACTTCTCGGTGTACCCTAGCGAACTCCTGGTAGCTTTTCTACCTGGTAGAGCTTAGCCAAAAGCGTACCGTTTGCCACTGCTCAATCAATTGTCATGACTAACAAACACCCGAGCATCAGACCCCCCCCCTCCTCCGCATGGGCGGCGATTGTATGAAAGCTCGTTCGTTTCTCTTTTTGTTGTCGGTGCCATCCGCCCATCCGCCTCTCTTTTCCCCTTGTTTTTTTTTCCGGCCTCACCGATTTGGTGATGATGGGTGTGGGATGTGGACGGCAACGCTCGAGAAGATCTAGGAACGGTATTTCCGGAGCTGACTGAAACCGGCGCCGACTTGGAGTTGTCACAAGTGAGAAGTATTGGTCGTGTTTTCGGTTGTCGTTGTGGTCGTTGTGGTCGTTGTTGTTGTTGGTGGTGGTGGCGGTGGTGGTGGTGTTGTTGTTGTTGGTGGCGGTGGTGGCGCTGGTGATGTTGTTGTTAGTAATAGTGGCGGTGGTGGCGCTGGTGATGTTGTTGTTAGTAATGGTGGTGGCGGAGGGGATGGTGATGGTGAAGGTGGTGCTGGTAATGGTGGTGGTGGTGATGGCGTGGTTGTGTAGTGGTGTTGTATTTGTATTGTTGGTGGCGATAGTGTTGTAGTTACTGCACGAAGAAACGTGCATTTAGAGTTTCGTTCCTCTCTCTGGGGGAGGGATCAGTAACCGCAGCAGTGAATAGAAAGCGTTTTCCACCGTTGCAGTTGTCGGATGCCTTTCGCGCTAGTGCCCTTCCCCCTCTTGGAGATAGTCTCTGCAAAAGACGTTTCTGGGAGCGCCCTGCTTGTCGCATTGAGCTATCTCTGGCTCTGGCCTTAACATCAAACCGTACCACCCCCATCTTCACTATCGGCTCTATGAGGTAATATCTGTGTTCAACTTCACATTTATTTGTTCGTGTGATGAAGAACATCACGGAGACTCGAAAGAATGGAGGAAATTCATCCATATGCGCAATCGCGCACTTGATTTTCATGTGTGGTGGACAAATCCACAGAGGCTCGAAAAATCGGAAGTATATCGCAACGGCGACGGCGGTGAGACCGTTACCGAGAACGGTACTCGGAGAAAGGCTCGTCGGCTGGGCAGAAGGACTCTGTTGGAGCTCGGTTGCGGCGTGGGCAACGCGGTATTTCCTCTCCTTGAAGAGAACCGTGGGCTCTTCGTCATCGCGGCAGACCTGTCCCCTAGAGGGATCGGGGTGCTCAAGCAGCACCCCAAGTACAGGTGAGAGAGGTAGAGAGAGAGAGAGGAGAGAGAGAGAGAGAGAGGGTGTGCTTTCAGTGCTAGCAGGCGGGTGGCTGGGAGGAACGTGTCATGATACGGTGTGGTTTTCCCTTCCGAAGACGGCAACGTGAGTCACCATGAGCTACACCATGGAATACAGCACTTTCGGAGTTGTTCTCCTCTGTTGTTTTGCGCGTTCGTTTCGGCTGCGGGCGGTGCGAAGCGTCTGTGGTAGTGCCGGACCCCTTTCTTCCCCCCCTACCCCTGAGCGTTAAAGTTGAAGAATCACCGCAACAATTTTTGCATCGTTGTGTTGTTGTTGCTGTTGTTGTTGTTGTTGTTGTTGTTGTTGTTGTTGTTGTTGTTGTTGTTGTTGTTGTTGTCGTTGTTGTCGTTGTTGTCGCTATCGTCGTCGTCGTCGTCGTTGCTATAGAGATTTGGGGAGCGTCGGCCCATTGTGTTTGTGTTTGCACACGGCAGGATATATCCGAGGTCTCCGGGGGGATACGCAGATAGATACATGATGGTTGTGATAGACTTGACGCGCTAGACTCTACGTGCCTGCCCATGTCTCTCCCTCTAAATAATCGAAGAACTTGAGTATCCTTTGTGCAAAACGCTGTCGACAGGAGCCCCCAAGCGTGATAACATAGTACACGCGCTGACACCACAAACGCATTGCGCCTCTGGTAAGCGTCCGCAAGCAACACCATCACACCGTAATCCTCTCTCGTTCGTTTCCTCCTCGCCCCGCCATTGCTGCATCCCCCAGCTGCGGACGGTGCGAGGCCTTAGTGCTAGACGCTACCGCCGACGACCTCCCCCCCGGTGTGTTGGAAGACGGAGGCGTGGACTTGGTCCTGCTGCAGTTCAGCCTGTCGGCCGTAGCTCCCAAAGACATGGCGACGGTGGCCAGGCTCGTCGAGACGGCGCTCAAGCCCGGGGGCAAGCTGCTTGTGCGGGACTACGGCAGGTGAGCACCGATGCACTCCTCACGTACTTATTATTTTCTTTTGCCAGAGTTTGTTCTCTCTTTGTCGAAGTGAAATGTTTGGTGATGCGCGTGGATCGCTCGCCTCAGTTTGTCTCAAGAGATATCCACATGACGCACCCGGCGAGCTTGCGCTTGCGAATTTTTGTTGAAGGAGCGTGTTGAAAGGTACATCAACCAAGCGCATCGATGATATTGGAAAAAACGTTGAGGGTGAGTTTACATTCCCATCATGCCTGTCGCCCCGGTTGTGTAGTTGGTGTTGTCGAAACCCTTCTACAGTAGTGGTCAGGGTCAGGTCAGAGGTTCGGTCCCGGCGTAAGCAGCGTTTCTTGCAAAGTGAGTTTTTTCCCTCGCTTCCGTTCCTGGGCCTGGGTGGAAAGCGCTAGTTCGTATGCACACAGAGGGAAAGAGAGTGTTGCACTCTTCTCGCATTAATTTTCGAAGGCGAAGGGAGAGGAACCCTTCGGTGTGACCACGGGTTGGAGTAAACGGCACAAATGCTGTGAGCGCTGATTTGAAGTGAAGACAAACAAACAACAACATCATCATGCTCAACTGCCAGAACAAAACAATCCCGCCCTTGCGTTGCTTCTTCTGGTGTAGAGCTCGGTATTGTGTATTGTTTGTAGGAAACGGCTGAAGTACTGCCCCCGGCGCGCTGTGCCCCCCCCTCGCTTCAGGCACGATGAAGCGCAGCTAAGGTTTGCGAAAGGGCGGCGATTGGGCGACAACTTCTACGTCCGACAGGTGACCCTCCTTCTTACGCCTAAAGTCATACCATCATACTTTGATACGGTCGGACCGTAACGGACCTTCCAGTCCTTAGGACTTTCAACCCAGCATCCCCTACCCAAGCCACCCACCACTTGCATGCCTATGTCTTCGGGACGCCGGGACGTGAGTCACCGTGGATGTCCGTAAAAGCGTACTTGTTTCGTTCGAGTAGTTACGGCAGCACGGCTGGCCATCGGTTTGCAAAATATGAGCTACGTTGCTCTGACTTAATTGACAGCAGTGCTTCGAAATGTTTTGACACGAAGAATTCAGCACCAAAAACCACAAAACCTCGGCTGGCCATCGGTTTGCAAAATATGAGCTACGTAGCTCTGACTTAATTGACAGCAGTGCTTCGAAATGTTTTGGCACGAAGAATTCAGCACCAAAAACCACAAAACCTCCATCTCCCAATCTCCCCCGACAGTACCCAATGCGCTGTTTTCCACATTCGAACCGTGTCACCGAAACGGTTTTTTTCACGTCAGGACGGTACGACGAGCTACTTTTTTTCCCTGGAAGACCTGAGGCAGCTCTTCTGCGGCAGTTCTCCTGGCGGTTCGGGACTTCGAGATAGCAGCAGCAGCAGCAGCAGCAGCAGCAGCAGCAGCAGCACTTGTTCCGGCCAGAGCAACCGCGGGTGGTTTGACGGGGGGGCAAGCCTGGTCGAAGAGGAGCTGTCGTTCGTGAGGAGGCAGTACGCGAACAGGGCGCAGAAGGTGGCGCGGAGGAGAGTGTGGGTACACGGAAAATTCCGAAAACCGATGCACTCGATGGCGGCACCGGTGTAGAAACTGTATACAAATGTTTGAGCAGGTGTTTTCCCGAGTGTTGTCTCGTAGGGATGGACCAGTTTTTTTCAGGACTGATACGTTGTCGTCGACAGCTGACGCTGCTGTACTTTTTTTTTCGTTTTCATTTTTCGTCGTCTCATTTATCCCATGCTCTTGGAACGTGCCCGTCGTGTCGTGTAAATCGCCTGGGGTCTCGCCCTCGCCTAGACCATGCAAATCTTCATCTTGGTGCCATTTTTGTCACCGAAGTGGACAAAATCCGCCTGTCTGTCGAGAAAATGGTCGGTTGCTTAACCCTCCGTCGTCTTTACTTCTGTTCCATGCAGCAGTCAACCTTGCCTGGTGATTTGTTCTCCGTGAGGCAGGGCAAGCCTCGGCAACGCGCGTCTTTCCCGTAGGACTTTTACCGCAAGGATGTGCGGAACAAGCCGCCGGGGCTTTATTGTGCGGTACAGCAAAGTAGTAGTGGAACGTGATCTTATGTATGTTGAGCGTGTTGCTCTCGCTTCTGGGCGGCAGCCAGGCAAGGGGATGCGGAAATGGAAAACCATTAAAGGAAGTTCCGAAATGGAACTGAACGCTGCTTTTAGCACCGATAGTACCACGCTCACTCACTGCATTGGTTGTGCTTTCGCATCAAGCGAAGTGTTTCATGAGCTGGCGTAAACCTTGATCGAAGATATGCGGGCAGGAAAGAGTAATGCCAAAATGCTTGGGGGCACCGCGGAAAGCACAGCCAAAAACCGTTGGCGCCACTTTCAAGGCGGTTTAACGGTTTAACCCGAACAAACATGAAGAAGCAAGTCATTGAACCCCTACAAACATCACGCGAGTAGACCGCGACAGCAATTCGAGCCATTGATTGAATGGGCCAGCAGACGCAGAGGTATTTAGCCTTCTCCATGACACCCGCTGATACACCGAACAAACAGCGTGAGCCATCAGCAGTTTCTGTGGTAGACTATTGAGGACAATTACCTCATGATAACGAGTGCTTCATACTGGAATAATAATAGTTGCAATCAAGGAACTTCCAAATATCTCCCTCCCCCCCCCCCCCCCCCCCCCCCCCCCCCCCCCCCCCCCCNATAATGGTGGTCGAGTAGATCATGTTGTGCGGGGTCGAGAACCCTCACTCCGCACAAGGGGGATGATCGCACCACGTTGTGTTAAAATGGTCAAGCACCCTCGAGGCAGTTACACAGTGCTTACAACTGTCTCTGGAAGTGAAAGCACCAGAAAGTAAATTAAGTCATATGGTCCGTTCGGGCAAATATATATCCACAATCTTGTTTTTCGCGATATCTTTCGAAAAAAAAAACGATTTGGAAAGTGAAACAACTTTGGGCGTGACCGCGGCGTCGAGCTTCGTCGATATCCGATGAGTTTTTGGCGATTGGGTGAAATGCGACATTTTCGACCAAAATGACCCACGGAGCCCCCC